TATATAAAATGAACTGCAAATGCAAAGTTTACCTTAATGGGAAAATGTGTATATCTTTGCTTAATATAAATAAATTAAGCAAAGACTTTTTGTTTTAAATACTAGCTTAAGTTGTGCCCATTAAAACACTCAATTCCTGGTGTGGCAGTAAAACTAAAAATTATAAAGAAAAGGATTGTAAATTGTAGAAATAAATAAGTTAAACTGTATCAGTAATAATACCTATTATAACACTAATCAAAGCATCTGTTCTTAATTATGCATATGACATTCTTAAGGAATGGGTGGCAAATCTCAAAGTTTTAGAGTGAGGGAAATGGAGTTCTTTAGTGCGAAAATAAAATATGAAAATTCGGTATATAAGCAAAAGCTTTATCTGCTACATCTGTTTAATTTGGGCTAGGTGTGTGGCTTTGTGGCAGAGCTCATACCTAGCATGTACAAGGCCATGAGTTCAATTCCCAGCACCACAAAAGAAAAAGTCATTTTGGTTTGATCCTCAGCACCACAAAAATAAATATCCAGGTATTGTGGCACACCTTTAATCCCAACACCTGAGAGGCTGACATAGAACAATCTGGAGTTTGAGGCTAGTTTGGGCTACATAGAAGTTCAAGGCCAGGCTGGGCTATATAGTGAGATCCTGTTTCCATACATACATAAATACATACATACATTCTGGTGCATACATAGGTACTGAGAATATAAATATTATACTCTTATAATTAGTTATTACTTGTTCTGAACTAAAATTTACAGTTGAATATCATGATTCCCAGACCTCTTTTAATAGGCTTTTTTTTTAATTCAAACTAGATATGGATGTTATTTCATTTCTTCAAAACTTTAATAGAATGAACTTTGGAAAGCTGTGATACTCGGTTCTGATAGAAGAGTACTGATCCTTAGTCATTTTTTCTTGACTTACAGTATCTGTCTTCTTAGATTTTTATAGCAACTTGGCCTATATACAGTTTCCTTAATAAGTCCCAGTCTTACAGAATTTTAAGTACAGAGTTGTAAATTACCTTTTCTAAATTCCTTAAGATTACTCACTTCTTGTTCATATGGTTATGACATATAATGGGTTGGTCTTGTTTTTACTGTGCTACCATTCTGTTTGTGGTTTTCCAAATGTTCTAAGAGGGATATCTGACAAACACTGAAGTGTTTTAAGAAACATTAGAGGTATTTATTCCACAGTAGTTAAATGACTATCTTCCATTATTCATGAACTTCATTTTATGTACTTTTGAAAAATACAGACTTATTTTTACTTTGTTAAGGTTAATTGATTATACATCAGAGCACTGATTTCAAAGGGACGTTTTATTGAAACTCGGGCCTAGAAACAATGTAATTTGATTTGATTAAATTATCTTCCTGACATCAGCATTTGCAAATAATAAAGTGCAGAAAAGTTGAGATAAATATAAAACTTATAAGAGTATTTTTCATAAATGTCAGATTAAAGATATAAAGGAGCCTTTAAAATTAATTCTGTGTTGATTAGGTTGTGCTAGTGTGCACAAGCTAGGAAAGAGTTTTCTAATGAATGGCCAGCAGCCTTGAGTCTACCTGGAATTGTATAATAGAGGAGGGATATAACTAGTCGCCAATAAATTTACTGAGAAAAAACAATCACATGGAAATTACATCAAAAGTTGTGATTTTGATTGAATCCTTATAGAAAATAACTCCAGGAACTGCCTAAATATATGCTCCAATAATTAGCATGAAACAGAATATTTTAAAAGTATGCTTAATTTCAGTTGTGATACAGTTAAACACAAAGGAACTCAGTGGTTATGACAGCAATTCAGTTTTTGTTGTTTTTTTTTTTAACCTAGACAACTTTAACACTTCATTCTGTATTTTTTGCTTTTTTGTCTACAGTGTAATGTTCATAGAATGATATTTATTCTTAAAATAACGTTTCTTTGCTTTTAACCTTTCTTAGTTATTGGTGATTTCAAAGTAGGAATATACTTTGTCTTTTTAGTAGTGCAACCTGGGTCTTTAAAGGAGGTGGCAGTGATAGGCTTAAGTTTCTCATCAGTTAAATTATTTGGTTTAGTGAACTGGAAGGACAAAATTCAAGTACCCAGGCTTGATTAATAAAAAAATAAATTCCATATATTGAATTTTCAGTCTTAGAAGTAGTGGTCATTTCTGTCAGATATGTTTTTAAATTTTCTATTCAACGTAGGCCTTTTTGAATAAACACATCTAGAATCGTGCTTCTCAATATCGCAACACATTAGAATTAACTATAAAACTTTTAATACAGTCAGAATCTGAATTAAATGGGAAGTGGATCCAGAAGATACTCCCAGGAATTCTTAGGTGCCGCCATACTTAAGAACCACTGGACTAGGTTTTCATTTGTTGTTTTGGGGCAGTAGAGGGGGTGCATGTAGCTCAGTGGTACAGTGCCTGCTGGCAAGCACAAGGCCCTGAATTCAATTCCTAGTACCAAAAAACTCCCAAAAATCAAAGAAAACAAAACAAAACAAAATTCACTGGTGTCTCATTTGTTGTTTTCCACTTTCTAAGGCCAGTTAAAAAGCCCTAGTAGGCTGGGGATTTAGCTCAGTGGTTCCACCTCCTGCTCCGCAAGTGAAAGGTCCTGAGTTTGACCTCTGGTACCAAAAAAAAAAAAAAAAAGCCCTTAGTAAAAGGAACAAGTACTTTATATTGAAATAACTACTGGATACTTCAGTGGAAATTACCAAAATATTCTTTAAAGGTAATACTTTTTTTTTTTTTTTTTAGCATGAAGCCAAAGTCTTGCTTGCTTTTTATTATACTGTACTTTCAATTGAATCCCAGGGCTTTCTTCCTGTGCTACATGCCCAACCCTATTTTTATTTTGAGACAAGGTCTTAAGTTGATAAGTTGCCTAGGCTGGGCTTGAATTTGAAATCCTCCTGCCTCAGCCTCCCAGAGTACTGAGATTATAGATATACATCACTGTGCTTGATTCGATTGCTTGTTCTTTAATTTATAGAACATGGTTTGGGTAATTAAGCTTCCCCAGAAAAACTAGTTGATTATGTTGTCATAACTGTTCTCAGTTTAATTGATGATTGCTAGACCTGGTAGATCTTGTTTAGTTGAACTATGATTTTAAGCTTACTAGTGAAAGCGTGTATGTGTGTCTTTTAATTTCAAAGGCCAGGAACTCATGAATAAACACACATAGTTTTAGTTTGCTGTGCTCTTATAATATACTACTATAAAGTTAGAATGAGAAGTAAAGTGCTAAGTTAGTGACTATTTGTATGTATCTATAGTCTAATGAGACATACTATATAGTATGTATTTTTTTTATATTTTCATTTGCAGTTCTTTGATGCCTTTGCTAGTGTTTTCAGATTTGAAAGTGTGAATTTTTATAAGACTGAACTTTCATTTTATATCTCAGAAAACTAATATGATGTCCCTGAATTTTTGTAGCAGAACACTAAAGTGATTATTAAACTTAATAGTTTATGTTTTAAGATAAAGTAGTGTTGGTGCGTTTGAATAATTAAGGCAGATTTACATATTAATGAATTCTGTTTTTTCTTCAAGACAGAAACTATTATTTCTGTGTTAAATGTGAGGTTACTTTGATTTAGTGTCCCCAGTCTTTTCAATCTGTCTCCTAATCTTCCTTTTTCACTTAGCCTTCCAATACTTAAATATTTAGCTGAGTGACATTAAAATGGTTCATGTCATTTTAAATACTTGAATTCTATAAATTAAAACAAGTCATTGAGTGGCATTTAGCAATTTTTAAATTGTCCAGCATCAAAAATTTTAGGAGAGGCAAGAACAGTAATACATCCAGTGGAAACGTCATTTCAGGAGGTAGAATGTTTTAAGTTTGAGTAATAATTAGTGCTTACTAGCATTGTTGCCCTGGATCCTGGAGAAAACAACTCAGGTTGGTTATGAAAACTGCCTTGAAAAGACAGATCAAGGCAGTAACTTCCAGTGTGGTACTTCGCCACACTGGCCTAGGGTTATAACTGGGGAGGAGAGCACCCCAATCAATTGTAGGATGAGCAAAGAGGAAGCTATTTACATCTTGAGGGAGAGATTCTTATGTATTTCCTGCTGCTGCCAGCGTCAGCTGTGCAGGTATTTCTAAAGGTTATAGAAGTCCTATAAAACTCACTTGTTACTATATAGTTGAGATTGCCAAACAGCTTAGAAGCAAAGACACTGTTAATTAGATAGAATCTTTAGTATAGTGCAGACCTTAATACAAAAATCAAATAACTTCCACTTTAATAAAAGACTATTTCTCAGATAAACATTGTACCCCTTCTTTGATAGTAAATTCATAATTATTTTAATTCAGCCTCATGGCTATATTTAGGGTTACTTGGTAAAGGATAGTATTAGTATAATTGCTACTGCTTTTTTAAAACCTTGTTATCTCTGTTGTAACTTGTTCCTTTTTATTTATTTATTTGGGTTTTTTTGGGTACTGGAGATCGAACTCAGGACCTCATGCTTATGAGGCAGGCAGTGGAACCACTGAGCTAAATCTCCAGCCCCCAAAAGAATATGTTCCTTTTTAAGCTGTTGTTTACTCAAGCTCTTTCCTATGAAATAATTGTTGTTTTTTTTTTGCCTATTCAATACAAGTTGGAATTTCAGGGTGGTTATATATTTTGTTATGGGAAAAGAAGAGATCTTGTCCTATAAGAAAAGCAAGTGTCTCTTCAGAAATTTTGTTTAATTCCAATGGCAAAAACCTGTGAATGTCAGAATTCTTTTATATAAAGGGCCATCTTTTTTAAATCATTACTTATTTTTCTAATATAAAAAATAAAATGTTGTAGTTTTTAAGCTGACAAAAATTGAAATAATTATCTGTATATATTTGCAGAAATATCTCCTAAACTTACTGGAATAAAATGCAGTGGTTCACCTCCTGTGGAGAATATAAAGGTAATTATTCCTAATAATTTACAGCATGTGTATTAGAACTTGCTTGTTTAGTATTGGCTTGCTTTAAAATTATTTCTACAAAAAAGGATTTCTTCCTAAAAATTATTTAGGAAAACTATTTGGTTTTATTTTTCTAATAAGATGTAAGTGTTATACAAGTAAAATAGATAAATAGAACACATTCTTCCACTTAGACTCAAATCTGGAAACACAGGAAATGCCTGGTGTACCTAACACCTAGTGTGCACACAGTATGATGTGCGGTATATGTACATAGTAGAAGCTTCTCAATAACAGCTAGTAAAGAAAGGGCAGTTAGGGTTTCTATAAAGTTTATAACTGCCAGCTATCAATTTTTGTGCTTCTGTTTGATTAACAGTTAATAGGAAAAGAAGTAATATTTTTACTAGTTCAAGTTGTTCTCATATAAAATTTTTACCCTGTGTACCCATCCCAAATACAGAATTATAGTAAATTTATATAACATCTAGCTAGGTTAGGGAAATACAACAGTAAACAAAAATCATGAATTCTAAGTTGTAAAAAGGAAAGTAATTACAGGAGATTGTATGATATAATCTGTATAATAATCTGTATTCATACGTGTTTTTAAGAAAATGAAGGAATGTAAACTACTTTCACCAATGAGGAAATGCTTAATATGGATTTTAAACGATCAGGATATTTATAGACAGATTAGAGACTTCTGAAACAAAAATAATAGCATGAAGAAAGGCAAATAAGGCACAGCAGTGCATTCAAGGAAATGTGGCAGCTGAGGGTACTTATAAGGGATATAAGGGCTTGAGGGGTAAAATAGCACTTTGACCTTCCGGTAAAACATTGGAATATTTAACATGATAGGCAGAAGTGACCTCTCAAGGAACTCTTCTTTCTAAGATGAAGATGATTCTTCAGGAAGTTAAGTAGTAGTGGCATCAGAAGATTATGTCAACTTATGAAGGAGCTCTGGAAGCGTTTATGTAGCATGTAAAATGCCACTTTATGTTATATTTTAGCTAGTTTTTTTTTTTTAGTTTCACTCATTGGGGCATAAAATATCCATTTATGATAAAGGAGAGTATATTATTAGTTTATGTGTATATGATTGAATGAATATATTTGTATTTCAGAAAGTGATTATTCTCTGATTTAACCCTACACATTTGACTTAGCTTTGATCTTGACTCTGCATTATTGCTGGGATAAACCTTTCTATGGCATTTGTTTTATTGAAACTAGCAGAGGTTTTGTCTTACACAGATGTTATTCATCAGCTTGCCTTATCTACTCACACACTCCAATCCCCTTATTAGTCAGAGGAGAAAGACTATTTTATCTCTGTGCCATGTGCAACTCCAAACTTGGAGGTGACATTACTGGGCTTTAGCACTACGACTTAGCTTGACACCATATAGGTGTGAGATTTTTACATATGTTGTTTCTGTTATTTCTAAGTGCTATTGTAAACCATAAACGGAGATGGTTGTACCTAACTTGTAGGATTCTTATAAGAATTAAAGACTCACCCTGGTGCTTCTTTGCACATGGTAGGTATTAAATAAACATTGTTATTACAGCACAACAGCTTTTATTTAGTACTGAATTGTGAATCAGAATGTCTCAGTAATCTTATGGGCCAACCAACATGAAATTTTAAATTTCTCTTCTTATATGTATAGTTCAGTAAAGACCAAAGGGGTGAAGGAAGTGGAAGGATTTCTAGATATGGTATAAAAGCTCAGTTTTTATTTTTAATAGATCACAGGAAATGTTTTAAAAACAAGTAGCATTGTTTAATTACACACATATCTAACTATAGTAATAACTAAGATCATTAACTTTGACTAACTCTGCCTCTTACACTGATTGAAAATCTTTTAGAGACCAAGTGCCCAAACTGCAACCCAAACCCCACTTATTTATCACAACACTGCAATTAAACTTGAATAGTGAAGTTTTTAGTGTAGAAAAAACAACTCACATTCTTGGCTCGCATGCCCAGCAGAGAGGGCTCTGTGTGCCTGCTGAGGCGTGCATGCCATACGTTCACCGCCACCGTCTTGGAAGCTACATGATGGCCATGTTATTTGATCTTCCTATCTATAACTCACCTATCTATAATAGAGGGATAATTGTATGACTTAGGTAATATGATATTCAAAAGCTATCATTAAATTATATTCTTGCCTCTTATGTTTCTACTTTCCTAATTATGCTTCTTGTTTGGTTAAAACTGTGAAAGGTAACTTTAACTTTTTCTTAGCAGATACAGTCTTCTGTGCAAGACAAACCTGCTACAACTGCCCTTGTTTACCACATGGCACATTTATATGGAATGCCACCTAATCAGGAGTTAACATTCAGTCATCAAGAATTAGAACATGAACAGACTGTAAAAAACATACCTTTACAAATGCAACCTCCTTCAGGTAAGAAATTCATAGATAGACAGCTGTGACTAAGAAACTTCTAAACCTATATGTAAAAATGCTAAGGCCATCACAAATGTTGCATATTTTACAAATACTGAAAATTCTAACTAGTAAATTCCAAGTGGGAAATAACGCAACAAAACACATTGTTAGAAATTTACTGTTTCAAGGGCCGGGGATTTAGCTCAGCGGTTCGGTGGCCTGCCTTGCAAGCGCAAGGACCGGAGTTCAATCCCCGGTACCCCCACCAAAAAAAAAAACAAAAAAGAAATTTACTGCTTCATACTACAGACCAGTGGTGGCAAACCTATGTGCTGCAGCTGGCTGGCTGTTACTGAAAGCTCTAAAAGGTGCATCACCACTGTTGTAGCTATGAATTACATTTACAAGAAAGAATATTCTCCCTATATGGTTTGCACTCGGTTTGTTTTCATATACAGAATACACATTGGCATATGGACTATGTAAAAAAGCCTACCGCTGCCCAAGTGTTTACAACCAAGTTCTTACCAGACTTGGGAAATGCTGCCGTAACATCTCTGAGTTAGAAAGGTAGGCTGCAGTGAGTAAAAGATATTTTAAATTCTGTAGACTGATGAACTTACCTAGATAAAAAGTAGCTTACAGTTAAAGAAACTTGGGCTGGAAATAATTGCCTCATGGTGGTTTCTATTTACTGAAAATATCTCCCCAAACTGACTAAATTTTTATATTGTTAGATTCACTTGGCTTTACAGCAAATGTCTTGTCTGTTCATCTTGTCTGAAGTGATTGTATTGCAGAGTCAACGTGGAATCTTGAAATTTTAGGGGTAGGAGTTGGATAAGGTACAAAGGCTACTTCTGTGATAACAGTGACTCTGGCCTAGAGAGTGTCTGCGACGGGAGACACTAATGTATGTAAACCTAGACTAGAGGCAGTTGTGAGTATCCCCAACACTAAAAGCAAAATACGAACACCAAAAGAAAAAACTCAAAAGGCCATGCAGGAAAAATAAACCTCTGAAGTATGTAATGCTTATGTTCATCTTTTTCTGGGAATAAATGTTTAATGTACTTCATAGAAGAGTGCGGATACATTGTAGTTCTGATTTTCCAGTACTGCAGTTAGGTAATTTATTCTGTATGCATCACCAGACATTGAACAGGCACATGAAAATAACATGATTTTAGGGGCTGTCATACGAGGACCTAGGTTCAGTCCACAGCACCACGGAATGAACAAAATGATTTTATTAGGATGAGATTGCTGCTTACTTTCTAGAGGCTAGGACTGAGATGAGGATACACTGATGCAATTAGGACCAAGTAGAGACTCTCAGTGCTGCTGAATAGGAAATATTACAGCCAAGCCAAATACAGTGAGCACAGAAAGGCTACAGGTCAGGAAAGACTTTTTTGCTGGTACCGATTGAACCTATTGCTTTCTCACTAAGTTACATTCAGAGGCCTTTTTTATCTTTTATTTTTATTTTGAGACATGCTTGCTAAGTTGCCCAGGCTGGACTTGAATTTATGATCTTCCTGCCTCAGTCTCCCAAAGTATTGGAGTTACAGGTGTATACCACCAAAAACATCAGAAAGATGTTTTTGTGAAGAACTAATAGAATAGCAACCTATCAAATATTAAAATAAAAGGCAGAGCCCATTTGGAACATTTGTGAGTTGCTGAAGAATATTTAACTAGAAATTAAAAAAAAAAACAGTGGTTTTCTGGAGCTGACAGGGAATAACAGGAGATAAAATTTAGGAAATGCCAATAGGTAAAAACCACTTGAAGCCATGAAAATGAGTGAAAACACCAGAGTGTTCAGATTAGGAAAAGGCTGAAGACAAAATTCTAGGAACAAACCATAGTCAATGTAAAAGAAATTAGTAAGTTAAAGAAGGGCCAGGCATACCGCTCAAAGGTAGAGTGCTAGCCTGGCATGCACAAGGTCCTGAGTTTGACACCACCACCACCAAAACAAAACAAAACAAAAAAACACAGGTAAGCCGAGCATGGTGGCACACTCCTGTAATCCCAGCACTCGGGACGCTGAGGCAGGAAGATCACTGTGAGTTTGAGACCGGCCTGGGCTACATAGTGAGTTCCAGATCAGTCTCAAGTACATAGTGAGACCCTGTCTCAAAAGAAACAAAACAAAACAAAAAACAGGTGCAATGGTATGTGCCTATAATTCCAACTTCTCTGGAAGCTAAGGCCAGGAGGATTGCTTGAGCCCACAAGTTTGAGGCTACCCTGGGCAACATAGCAAGACCCTGCCTCAAAAATTAAAAAAAGAGGTATCCAAAAAGTAGGGGAAAAAGGAAAAGTGGTATAATAGAAGAATATCACACACTGCAGAGCATTCGAAAAGGATAAAGAAATGTGAAAGAGTATTAAAATTGACAATATGAGGAGGTTTGCTTTTGCAAAAGTTTTTTTGTTTTGTTTTTCTCCCAGTACTGGGGATTGAACTCAAGACTTTCACATTCAGTTACATCCACAGCCATTTGTGTGTGAGTGAGTGTGTGTGTGTTGTGTGTTGTGTTTTTTGTTTTGTATCAGGAATCAAACTCAGGTCCTTGTACTTGCAAGGAAGGCAGCAGAACCACTGAGCTAAATCCCCGGCCATTGTTTTTGTGTTTTTTTATCTTGAGATGGTCTCGCTAAGTTGCCCAAACTGAGCTCAAACTTGTGATCTTCCTACCTAAGCCTCCCATAGTACTGGGCTCACAGGTGTGCATCAGCACACCTGGCTGCATAAGCAAAGTGGTCATTGTGTTTTGGGCAGATACCAGGTTGCTGTAATCTAAGAAATAATGGAATCGGGGTGTAGTAAGCACTGTATATAGCAGTCTTTGAACAAGCTAGTTGGTGAAGAGGGTAGGAAAATACTGGGGCTTTGACAATCCTTTTATTTTGAGCAGTGGGAGAGGTTTTGTTTACGAGTGTTTGAATTAGAGAGCTTTGAATATTTGTGAAGGTTGGTTAGAAAAAAAGTGAAAAATTACTGTTTTCACTAGAATGTTTGTAGAATGGTAAGAATATTCTTGCCCATTTATTTCACTTAGAAGTATATCCTCAAAATGTACCCATTTAACTACGAATGAATCTACTTTCTCATTCTTTATGGCTGAGTAGTATTCCATTTTATAGAAAAACCACATCTTCTTTATCCAGTTTCCAATGAGAACCAAGACCTGGCATGTAAAGGTACAACATACCAGTAATGAATGTAGCTGTATTGTCTACCTAGAATGTACCAATAAATTAAATTTTAAAAAAAGAATATTCTTGCCCATATGAAAAACAATGTTAAGAATGTAAATAAGATGTTTTTATTTCTGTTTTAAGAAAACAAGCCAAATAGGAAAAATAGGATTTTAATACTTAAATTTTCATTAAGGATTAGTCTGTTGTAGCACCTCAGATTATGTTTCTATACTTACTATTTTGTAAAGGGAGCTTGGATGGTGCTAGAATTGACTGTTCATTCCACTGTAATATTTGCCAACTACAGGTGGCAATATGCCCAAGGAATTGCAAATATTTATAAACCATAGAATGTATATAGAATTTAATTTTTCTGTAGTTTAATCGCAATGGAAAGGAAGATGTTTCATTTTCCCCTTGTAAGTTGAAGTTTTTAGTCACAAAAGATTTATGATCTTATCTTTATAGCTTGCCCTTTACTCTTCTCATAAAAGTCAAAGTGAGGTGTTTGCCAGCCAGCAGAAGTGACTATCTTGTATTTTTTAAAAGTATTTAAAAATACCTTAAAGAAAAAAAGTAAAATATAGGAAGCCAAGAAAGGTAGAATTACAAGATCTCTCTGGCAGATGGGTATTTCACAGAATTAAGTATCATTTGATTTGGAAACAATGTAGATGAACGCATCAGGCATCTAATAATTCAGTGTGATTAAAATGTTGGTGTTGGATGCATAGGAATGTGGGGAGATAAATGTGCAAAGCAAGATCAGGTGCAGATCATAAAGAACTTAGAATCTTGATATTCTACATGGGTAGTGAAGAGCCAATGAAGGTTTTTGGGATAGAGGGCGTAGGTAGTAACTGATCTTCCAATATTATGGAGGTTTGTTGAAGGAATAGGTCGTAGAGACCAGAAGTGGAGACCAATTGCGCTATTGCAATTGTAGGGAAAAATCTGAAGTAAAGTGATAGAAAAGGCAGAAAGCTTAAAATATTTACAAGGATAAAATCAGTAGTTTCACAAATGAGAAACATATAAAAGGTTAATAACCAAGGGAAGAATAAAGAGCTTTGGTGAATCACAGGATACTGGCTAGGTACTGGTCCAGGACAACAGATCTGGAATAGAGATGAAGAACAAAAGGTTTCTGAAGAAAGATGGGATTTTTAGTGTTTGAGGTGTCAGGGAACTATTCATGTAAACATATTTCTCAGAGTGGTCCCTTGACACAGTTATAGTAGACATCTGGGACACTATTTTCTCAACCATCCAATATTTTTATAGTGGTCTTTTTGTCTGACTATCTTTAGATGTTGGTAATATTCTGAGTTACATCCTTAACCTTAAACTTAGCTTTTTATTATACTTCAGAGCTTCCAAAACATAGGCTTACTGAGCTAGTGTTCTTCTCAGGTCTCATAGCAACGGGCTTTGAGTAGCCTTCCTATTAACCCAAGAGTGCCAAGCCATCATCCTTTTTGACATAGCACCACGTGAGAAAGATTTGGAAGTCTTTCTGGATATTCTTGGCATCTGTGATCTCTGTTCTTATTTTTACAACTCAAATGTATCTGTCCCCAGGTGTGCTCATACAACTCTAGTGAGTATCTTTACTTAAATACCATATAAAAATTTCAAACAGGGATGTAAAAACTGCAAATCCTCCCTTTCAACCCTCAGATTTTAATCTTTTATCTTTAGTTCATGGCAATGGCACTATTACCACTTACCAACTTTAATATCAGTAATTCATTTGCCATGTATGCTTTTACTTTCTAAATACCTGGCCCCAGGTAGAGAAGGAATATGGTCACATTCTTACAGCTCACCACTGGTACCCCACTTTCTCTGTTGCTCATTGTTCTTGCATTCATGCCTCCTCTGACAGTATGGTTCTTCCTGATGTTTCTTGCCCTCTTTTTTCAGGCTTAACTTCAAGGACTATACATTTAGTCAGAGAATCAGTCAGTTGGGAGTGCTAAAAGTTTTATTACAAGTTCCTATAAGACATAAATGGCTAGGATTGTGTGAGCTTGAGCCAGTTAACAAAGATAGCAGCTTATTTTTGATTTGTCCTCTCTATACCTTTGCCACTGATTAGACCTATAGAAAAGGGCAATAAAAATTTATTTTTTCATTGAGTTTATTGGTACATTCTAGGTATACAGTACAGTTACATTCATTACTGGGATCTTGCACCTTTACATGACAGGTTTTGGTTCTCATTTTTTCCAAGAATGTATCAATTAAGTTTCATTAGCAGCAGCAGGATGTTCCTGATTTCAAATGACAGAAAACTCAGCTCAAATTGAAATAATAAGGAATTGTGTTCATGTATTGCTAATGGTTCAAAGATAGGTCACTCTTTTAGGCATGGGTTGATTATAGTTCACACTATTTCTGTAGTTTATCTTTACCTATAATAGTAAATTAAATATTTGTCTGAAAGCTTAGTGATTAATGAGATTATACATGAGGCCCTTAGTTCAGTACCCAACACTTCCCACCTACCCACCCCCAAAAGAGAATTGATAGGATTGCATAGTTTGTTCTCTTCACCTCAGAGAAACAAAATTTTTACATTTCTTATTTCCAGCTATGTCTGGCATTTTAGTTCTTACTTTCTTTGAGTTTTATTTATTCTCAAATTGGAGAACAGGTAATAACTTTCCCTGGAAGCCCTATATTGGCCTGCTGTTTCTAAAGTTACTGGTAGGGGCATAGAATTGTCATGATTGGATTAGCTTAATCAAAACCCACCTCTAGAGTTGAAAACGGTCTAAATTGAATAGCTCTATAGCATGGGGACAGATAAAATGGGTTTGGGCAGGTCACCCATAAATAACATCAGTATACTTCATGGTGATCAAAACAAGAACAGAAATAACAAAAGAAAACAAATGAGATTACTTTCAAGTGAGAAATGTTTAGAATACAACAAGCCCCCAACAAAGAATACTCCAAAGCTAAGATTCATCAACAGTTATTTTATTTTCATAGTGTCTTAACTGCAAGGAAAAAAATCGAATTCTAGATAAGTACAATGAAATATTTAATCATACTATCTAAAAACCTGTGCTTCTAGGTGATTCTAAACAACTGAACAGCCCAGCTATGATACATCCATCTGGTGATAACAACACAAAGGTGTTAGAATCTGAACATCAAGTTCCTGTGCAGAAGGTAAAAAAGCAGTGTTATTTTTTTCCTCATAAATGTCAAAAGAATATTATGATTAAGAGAAGAGATGTTTTTGGATATCTAGTCCTAATTTTTGCTAATGTAATTTTTAAAAATTAGTATCCTGTACCTTCTGTCCTCATGCTTGTGTTTAATTGCATATTCTATAATATTCGTATTCATTCTGTCTTTGTGTGTGTGCATGCATGTTTTCAGATTCAGAGCTTTGTACATGATAAACACACGCTCTACCATTGAATCTACATCCCCAACCCTTTGTCCCAATTTTAAAGCATGATGTAAAACTGTCTTTTAGAATCGATTGTAAGGGATTTCTTAATGGGGTCTTCTGTGTACTTAATCGTCAAACCACACATTGATATCATTCTCTAAACAAATATTCCAGAGGTCTAAAATATGTTAAATGTGCCAGATACTATTGTAGGTATTTGAGTTTAATTATCAGAAGTATGAAGGGGATATTTATATTTTCTCTCTCCCCTTCTCTCTCTTTCTGTCACTCTCTTTCTTTCTTTGCCCCTCTTTTTCTCTCCCTTCCTTCTTCCCTCTCTCCTCTCTCCTTTGCCCTTTGCCTGTCTTTCTGCTCTTTCTCTTTTCCTTGCAAGTATTTGAGAGGAGAGATCTTAGTCTTAATGTTTAAAATTATTGTTTAGCCATACATAAAAAATGTAATGTTTTACTCCACAGAGCATAATGATTTGGCCCTTGTGTGTAGGATCTTTGATTTCTTACATAGCGCTCTACTGGTAGTCATTATTATGTTTAATTTAGGTATTCTATTATTGCTAAGTATGGATTAAAACTTCTTAAAAACCCCTTTTCTGACAACCATCATTAGTGTTCTGTTTCATTTTATGGTTTTTGTTTTAACTGACAGTGCTGTCTACCCCTTTAGGTCAGGAAGAATAAGTTCTGTAGAATTTTTTCAGTCAAACATTTTGTTTCCTGTGTACTTTTAATTCATTCTGTTTCAGTATTCTTATGTTCTCTTGATGAACTGCTCTGATCATGTTAATCATCTATATGAAAGTTTTAATATTTTCCAACTTCTGCCTCTAGGATGAAGATTAAACACTTCTATTCTGATCCCACTAGTTCCTCAATCTTAACAGTATGCCTTGTAATTCATTGAAACTGACTCATTTCTCCCCTGGTATACCTAATAATACCCTTCATTATGTTCTTTCTTCCATGAGGAATGTGTCTCATGTTTATCCAAGGAATTCTCTCATTCTTCATGATACCTGAAAATTTCAGGCATCATGTATGGTTTCTAACCCTACATATAAACTTTTTTCTTTTAGAATCTGCCAAAATTTCATTCAGTAGAAAGTAATTTCAGGACACAGAACCATCCAGAGTTTTATGCTGTCCTTGTTCCCTATTAAATATACTAAGCAGTATTCTCTGTCAAATCTCCTTGGAAAGTGAGATTCTTGAGTTGACCAAGTAGTCACATGAGCCCTGGACTGATATTTAGCCCATTCCATTGGTAGGGATAAATACAGGTTTTATTGACAATGTATAGGAAAAACTTCAAAAGCATGTCTGAGTGACCATTGGTGAAGGTCCCTGTGTGTGTAGAAGGGTATAAGAAGGATGTTCTGACTTACTATTTTGGAACAGAAATTAAAGGCTGATGGTTATATCAGTCATAAGTTTTCTTTTATTTTCTATGGGACCCTTAAAATGTTAGTCCTTAATATTTCAAGGGAAATATATCTATAGAGCAATCATGCATAATCATTAAGGAGAAAATTATAAAAAGAAATATTTCAATGCTATATTGCATAATCTTCTTTCCTTTCCATAAATAGGTTAACTCTTAGAAAAGCCAGCTAGAGCCGGGCGTGGTGGCGCATGCCTGTAATCCCAGCACTCGGGAGGCTGAGGCAGGAGGATCGCTGTGAGTTCGAGACCAGCGTGGGCTACATAGTGAGTTCCAGGACAGTCTCAACTACATAGTGAGA